GTTGGAAGGGGAGTGGATTAATGTCTGTAAAGGTATTTTTATTAAGCCAAGTGACACAAAATACCATACCAATGGTGGGTAACAATGTGTAGTGTGAATCTTAAAATTAGGAATAGCTTACCCCTCTAATTTCTGTGGCCCACTCTATCACATCCTCAAAGAGAGACAACTGTTGCTCATGGGGAGGAAACACTATTTTCATCTTACATCCAACACCCTTCGGAAAATTCCAGAAGTTGAGAATGCCCTGTAGTATGTCCTGAAATCTGGTATTGTGATGCCTCCAGCTTTGTTTTTGTTGTACAAGGTTGCTTTAGATATTCGAGGTCTCTTGTGCCTTCATATGAATTTCAGCACCATTTTTTCCAGATCTGAGAAGAAGGTCTTTGGTATTTTGATTGGTATTGCATTGAATCTATAAATTGCTTTTGGGAGAATGGACATTTTGATGATATTGATTCTTCCAATCCACGAGCATGGAAGATTTTTCCATTTCTTGGTATCCTCTTCTATTTCTTTTTTTTTAACTTTTATTTAATGAATATAAATTTCCAAAGTACGATTTATGGATTACAATGGCTTCCCCCCCATAACTTCTCTCCCACCTGCATCCCTCCCCTTTCCTACTCCCTCTCCCCTTCCATTCACATGAGGATACATTTTCGATTCTCTTTATATACAGAAGATCAGTTTAGCATACATTAAGTAAAGATTTCAACAGTTAGCTCCCACACAGAAACATAAAGTGAAAAATAATAGATGATTTTTTAAATGATGATGAAATCAGATCAGACCTATTGTCATGTTTAATCCCAGCGAGAGTCAAGTTGGGAATTAATAATTTCTTCTTCTTTTTTTTTACAGAAGATCAGTTTAGTATACATTAAGTAAAGATTTCAACAGTTTGCACCCCCATAGAAACACAAAGCGAAATATACTGTTTGAGTACTCATTATAGCATTAAGTCTCAATGTACAGCACATTAAGGACAGAGATCCTACATGAGGAGTAAGTGCACAGTGACTCCTGTTGTTGACTTTACAAATTGACACCCCTGTTTATGGCATCAGTAATCTCCCTATGCTCCAGTCATGAGTTTCCAAGGCTATGGAAGCCTTTTGAGTTCACCGACTCTTATCTTGTTTAGACAAGGTCATATTCAAAGTGGAAGTTCTCTCCTCCCTTCAGAGAAAGGTACCTCCTTCTTTGAAGACCTGTTCTTTCCACTGGGATCTCACTCACAGAGATCTTTCATTTAGGTCTTTTTTTTTTTTTTGCCAGAGTATCTTGGCTTTCCATGCCTGAAATACTCTCATGGGCTTTTCAGCCAGATCAGAATGCCTTTAGGGCTGATTCTGAGGCCAGAGTGCTGTTTAGGACATCCACCATTCTATGAGTCTGCTGAGTATCTCGCTTCCCATGTTGGATCACTCTCCCCTTTATTTATTCTATCGGTTAGTATTAGCAGGTACTAGACTTGTTTATGTGCTCCCTTTGACTCTTAGTCCTTTCATTATGATCAGTTGTGAACTGAAATTGATCACTTGGACTGGTAAGATGGCATTGGTACATGCCACCTTGATGGGATTAAATTGGAGTCCTCTGGTATGTTTCTAACACTACCATTTGGGGCAAGTCAGCTTGAGCATGTCCCAAATTGCACATCTCTTCCCTCTCTTATTCCTACTCTTATGTTTAACAGGGATCACATTTCAGTTAAATTTCAACACTTAAGAATAACTGTGTATTAATTACAGAATTAAACCAGTCATATTAAGTAGAAGAGACAAAAAAAAAACTACTAAGAGGGATAATGTATTAAGTTGTTCATTAACAGTCAGGGCTATGCTGATCAAGTCACCGTTTCTCATAATGTCCATTTCCTCTTCTATTTCTTTCTTTAAGATTTTGTAATTTTCATCGTAGAGATCTTTAACGTCCTTGGTTAAGTTTATTCCAAGGTATTTGATTGTTTTTGTAGCTATTTTGAATGGGATTGATCTTAGAAGTTCTTCCTCAGCCATGGCATTGTCTGTGTATACAAAGGCTGTTGATTTTTGTGCATTGATTTTATATCCTGCTACTTTGCCAAAATCTTCTATGAGTTCCAGTAGTCTCTTAGTAGAGTTCTTTGGGTCCCCTAAATAAAGAATCATATCATCTGCAAAGAGGGATAGTTTGAGTTCTTCCTTCCCAATTTGTATCCTTTAATTTCTTTTTCTTGCCTAATAGCTCTGGCTAGAACTTCCAGAAGTATATTGAATAGCAGTGGTGAGAGTGGACTTCCCTGTCTGGTACCAGATCTCAGTGGAAATGCTTCCAACTTTTCCCCATTCAATAGGATGTTAGCTGTGGGTTTTTCATAGATTGCTTTGATTGTATTGAGGAATGTTCCTTCCAAATCCAGTTTGCTTAGAGTTTTCATCATGAACGGGTGTTGTATTTTATCAAATGCTTTCTCGGCGTCTATTGAGATAATCATATGGTTTTTCTTCTGCAGTCTGTTAATGTGGTGTATCACATTGATTGTTTTGCACACATTAAACCATCCCTGCATACCAGGGATAAATCCCACTTGGTCTGGGTGGATGATCTTTCTGATGTGTTGTTGCATTCTATTGGTGAGAATTTTATTGAGGATTTTTGCATCTATGTTCATCAGGGATATTGGTCTGTAATTCTCTTTCAGTGCTGCATCTTTTTCCAGCTTTGGAATTAAGGTGATGCTGGCTTCATAGAAAGAATTTGGGAGGACTCCCTGTTTTTTGATTGTTCTGAATAGTTTGAGAAGAAATGGGATTAGTTCTTCTTTAAATGTCTGGTAGAATTCAGCAGTGAATCCATCTGGTCCTGGGCTTTTCTTTGTTGGGAGGGCCTTTATTACTGTTTCAATTTCTGTCTCAGTTATGGGTCTGTTTAGGTTTTCGATGTCTTCCTGGTTCAATTTAGGTAGATTGCATGTGTCCAGGAATCTATCCATTTCTGATAGATTTTCCTGTTTGCTGGCATACAAGTCCTTGTAGTAATTTCTGATGATTCTTTTTATTTCTGTGGTGTCTGTTGTTACATTTCCTTTTTCATCTCTGATTTTATACTCAAAATCCAATTTTCTCTTTTGATTCAAATTCGCTAGGTCACCAGCAGGATTGGCAAATTGGAGATGCTTGAGAAAAAGGTGCAGCTAAAAAATGTGCCATCCTCTCATGTGACTGCTCAAAAATTTGTACAACAAATTCAAGTTAGAGAAAGTATCTCTTGGTCTGTAATCACAGCTACACAAAGGAACACATTTGTAGCGACTCTATGAATTCAAAGAAACCAGATACAGAACTATGTCACAGTAAGTCAGATTTCAATCATTTTCATTAAAAACATGAGCAATCAAAATCACTAGGTGTGAGATTTGGACAAATCTAGACTCTATTACTTTCTCCATGATTCTATGACAACAGACAGTAAAATGAAGCTACCCAGATACAGATGTGTGCAAATTACCTAAGATCATTAACTCCAATATCCCTGAACACCTCAGCACCATCTGACACTAGAAGTAATTCTCCTACTGCTTAGTTTTAAAATAGAGACAAAGGCTAGGTATTTCATATACATAAACCTTAAATAGAGAAGATACTGCATTCTTTTTCACACAGCACTGATACTTATCCACAGATGCTTTCATAGTAGTCAATGGAACCTTGTTGCTGAAGACAAAGTTAATGAAAGGGGCACATTTATATCCTAGACACTGAAACAACTGCATGAATTCTGGTGTTTTGAGAAAGGATCCCAAGCTATTTGGTTTGAACACGTGCAGAAGCTCTTAAGGGGATCACTTCAGGAATACATGTCAATAATGGAAACCAAGTTACCTGTTAGGGAGAAAATGCCACCTTTGCCCCATTGTTCACTGGCTGCATTTCTAACTCTTGTAGAAGCATCTCATGTACGCTGTGGGCCACAGCATACACAGCATTGTATATGGTCATATCAAAATGAAGCAGAGGCAACCATTCCAAGGAGGCATTCAGTGGGCAGTTCTGCAAGGTTTTGAAGGTTGTTCCAGTAACTGAGCAATCAAAAACTAGCAACCAGAATCTGGAGAGGTAAATGTCTTCTGGGTATTTGGAAGGGTTTGGTGTCTGAAGAAAATTTTTGAAACCCGAGATCTCACTATGGTGGTGTGAAAACATGAGAGTCCCATGGAATGAGTGGAGCAAAAAAAGTCTCCAGTTGGTGGCAAAATCCCATTGTGAGGTGGTGACTCAGACTTTCAATGTCATTAAATCTTCCCATGAGAAAATCAGTGTCACAGAAAAGAATAACTACCTTTGCTGATCATTTTAGCATCTGGATGTGATACGGCCAGGGGATACAAGATCATGAATCCTCAGTGACTGGAATAAATTCCAAAAGTCTAGGCAGATACAATTCTTCTGCATCTCAATTTTCAAATCAGAAATAATCTGAGTACCTTTTGGGAGGTCTGAAATGGCAAAACTCATCCAGATGCAACTGAAATGGAGCATCAGGGAGACCATGCCAAGGGCCAGAGAAGTGTCTTTGGGGACCATCTGATAGAGGGAAGCTAACTGACCACTGTCACTCAGAAGCAGTTCAAAAGACCCAAGAGTCAGCTAAAGGAAAATGCAAGAAATATGTGTAAGGTTATTGCCAGAATATACAATCTTATTTCTGAAGGTAATTAAGCAAATGTTTGAAGTGTCACAGGTATTTGAATATTTCATTTTTCTCATCTCCCACTACATGAGAACGTCCTCGGTCATGAGTTTAGACTCACAGGTTGAGGAAAATGTTTCCATTTTCACTTCACCACACCTCTGTATCAAGCAAATGTAGTTACTGCTCCAAACCTCTGCATGGCTCCTCTTTAGATTACACATTGTGGCTAAAGCATAAGGTGTCAGTCATTTCCATTTTTGTTCTGAGTAAGGCAGTTAAGGTGATGTGATTTTTTCCCTCTCTTTCCTGTAAACACTCACCTGTGGAGTTTTGTAGAGTTCTAGCAGTGTGCCTATTTGGACACTAATGCTCATTCCTGAAATCCTGGCTACAGACTTGCTCTTTCTTACACATGTAATTAGGAATGTCCTATTCCAGGCCCACAAGCCAGAGGAATGGATTCCCTGTCACCATCATGTCACTGTGCATGCCATTATAGAGATCAAATTCCAAGGTCATGTTGGGTAAAAAATGGGGGTTCTTTTTGATGATCTCAATATCAAAAACCAAGGCCAGTTTTTGGACTGAAATCTGCAGGAAAGGCACAAGGATCATTAAGGGAGAAGCATCCAATCCAGATTATCATCAATTGCACTCCCATAACTATTACAATTGGACTATCCTGGCAAAAATTCACAAGTTCTAATCCTTCTTTTTATATCTACTGAGGATAGAGTGTGAAGACTGTCATTTGCTGCAGGACACACCCTCACAAGAATCAAAGCTGCTACTACCTTCATCCTGGTCTTCTAGTCTAAATGATTCTGAAAATAAGCTCTGCTATTACATCATAAAGTCTTGGGCATGTTATCACCTGGCTGTCCATGCAGCCAAAGAACATGATCTTTTTGTACGCCTACCTCATAAATTTAATTCATTTCTGGCAACATCTTCTAAGTTGATATTTGATATCTAAAGTATATATTATAATATACTCTGGAATGCCCTCTCTACATTTCTTGCAAATATGGGAAATGGATTCAACTTGTTAATGAAAACATATATAATGAAAAGGCACGTCCTCTTTAGCACTGCCTCTATAGATGTTTCTTATATTCACAAACTACAATGATTCTTCACATTATTGCATCACCAAATGCTTCTTGAAACAGGAATCATATAATCATAAGACTGCAGTTAGTAATGGGAAAAAGAGAGTAACTCAACTCAAGGCTCTATTATCAGAAAGAGAGAAAATCTCAGACCACTGAGAACGGTAGATCAAAGTCTGGACTTTATCCAGAAAAAACTCTTCCCCATAAAACTTACCCATCAACCACCATCACAAGCCAGGAAAATGAAATCAGATTCAGACTTCAATGAAGAACAGTGAAAAGGGTAGAACACTTTAGAGAAGCCTGAAACACTCATGGGGTGGACTTGAAACACTGGTCTATGAGGCCCATGATGCCTAAAGTTAAGGTAGATAACCCTTTATTTGGAACACTAAGCATATGTTAAAGTAAATCATCAGCATTGGTATCAGTACTTACTCTATAAACAGGCCTCATTCATTCATTTTTTTTTTTTTACAGAATTGAGTACAAATAGCCTTCCATGCAAAGAACACAATGGATTTCTATTTTCTGGGATCTGACATTTCACAAAGAATGAAAATGAGGAGCCCTTTGTATTTATATTAGATGCACTGGGTGTTGAGCATTGATGAGTATACCACATCACGTTCACTGCTTGATAATGGTCACTGTGTGCTCCAGAGGAAGTAACAGTTTTTCATTTCTTCATTCATGTTGCTGCATAATATGTATGTGTGTATATGATATAAATATTACCTCTTTCTATATTTATATATGTAAGTGTTTTATACCATATATACAGTTGTTCTCTCTACTGTTATATACATATATATATAGTTTCTATTAATATTTGTTATCCAAATACCTCATTCACACTTTGTATGTAGAATGAGGAAATTTGAAAATCCTTGCTAAATGATCAAATAATACTTAGTTTTGTATTACATATGTTGCTGGTCTTCTCCTTATTCTTCTACACCTCCATCTATTCCTGCTCTCATTTCTTCCTCCTGCTCCCCCGCTGGAATCAAAAGATCTAGAAAGCTCATTGTCACACTAGGCAATTCTGAGAGTTGCCCTTTTGATCTGTTTTATGCTGTGTTCCTTATCACTAAGAACAGTTTATCAGTAATTATTATATATTCTAGAGTTGGTCAGTCTAACATTGGAGCATATAGTGTCTAAATCGATTATAAGTTCAATATGTAAGTTCAAATATGAATTATTTTCCAAGTATCATCAATGCAGTTATTTTCTACTGAATTTGCTGATATTTGATTATGATCTCCAGTTTGCATGGCATTCATAATGGGGGAACCTGAGTGCTATTCATAGAATCTACTCTAAATACTAGACATTCACTATATCGTGGTCTCCATCATTTAGGGTACACTTAAATGATGTGCTGCATGCATAACCATGGGGAATCCTACTACTACTAATAAATATTTCATAAATGGGATGTCATGTGTACATATCAAATTAGGACACTTTATATGTGAAGAGAATAATATTGCTATACCAAGCTAGTATCCTTTAGATTATTTCTTGGAGAGATCTTTGGACAAATGCCTAAAATACTTAATCAGTTGCATTGCCTTGGTGGAACCAGCTAAACTTTTCAAATCCTTTTGCTTTAACAATAATGCAATGATCTATGACCTAATATCTACCCTCTTTTAAAGATCTATGCAATGTAATCCTATTTCCTATAACATTACGGTAGAAATCAGAAAATTAGCACCTTCATAAACAGATGTGCAGAAAACAATTATGCTGTCCTACAAGATACAATATTCTGTAGCATTCAATTATCATATATTTATATGTGAAACATATATAATTATCTGAAAAAGAAGGTATGCTAAAGAGGGGCAGCTCCCTTCTGCGATGCCTGTATTTTTGTTCAGAAAAAGTTAGAATCAAGGATACATCCTAAATTTTGAAGATTAGAAGCATTAAAGTTCACAAGGGTAATACGCCATTAAAATATAATTATTATCATATTTTTGTCTGAATCAAGCCACTTTAATACCACTCCATCTTACATCTTTCGACCAGCTGTCCACTCATCCATGGGGGAACCTGGAAGCTTTTTGCCCTGAGGCTCTGCAGCTGAGGTCTTCTGTCCTCATGAGAAACGCAAGATGGAAAACATGTTTGTGGATGATCTTCTTCACCCCAGGTGCCAGCATTTTCTCCTTGTCCATGGATACAAAGAATCAAGGGAGAAACTCCTGTTAGATAAATTTCTTGCAAGGGCTTTGTCAAAAAACCTCTCCAGGAACTTTTTGCAATTATATACGATTGCATCAGAAGGCTCAAAGGGAGGCATCAGGCAAGTTTCTGAGATGGCCCAACTCATTCAGGTTTCAAACAAGAACACGCCAGGATCACACATTCCAAAGACCCAGAGGCAATGGGGCAGCTTCCCACAAACAGTTTCCCAGGTAGCACACATTGCCTTGATGTCCCAGAGACCCCAAACTAATCCTGTTTACAGAGATACCCACTAGGACATGTGGTTTTCAATCACTGTGGAACCAGTAATCACCCTGAATTTGGAAGTTCCCATTCTGTATGTCAGATCACCACATATTCAGTTGTAAAGCAGGAAAGCTTTCCACATTGCTGTCAACCATGATAATCCTATGATGACTGTTTAGGCACCTACAACCCTGGTCGATGCTCTCATGAGAACTAGGGAATATTTGAGTACTTCTCACTTTTTACTAAAAAGCAGACAATACCAGCCAGAAGTTATGTATTTATTCTCACCTCCACAAACACCAAGGACAGGATGATATCTGCAGACACCTATACTTCTTGAATGCAAGCGACTTTCAGGAATATTATGTAGGACACCATCAGGGAAGCTATGTACTGTTAAACCTTTGCCAAACCCACAGAATGAACAACATGAAAGTAAACACAATGGATACCATGTCATGTAGGGAATGATGATGAGCAACACTGACTAATCATTTGTGTTTGCATATCAGTTTGAGATATTGCTAATGGAGTAAATCTAATAAGGAGGGAGACAAGAGGGCATTTAAGAGAACTCATTCTAAAGTTTGCTAAACTCAAATTGCTTTAAATGCGGTGCCTAATATTTTAAGCAAAACAAATTTTCCATTGCCTAGCCACTGCTCTGATGCCATTAGGGAGATTTTGAATAGTGGCACATGCAAAGTGAGATGCAGAATAGGCACAAAATACAATCAAAGTTCAGTAACTTGCGTACAATGAAAATAGAATGCCTTGATGAGCTAGATTCATTACAAATACAATGAAGAAACTTGTTGTATATTCAGTTAAACAAGAAAAGTAAATCTAAATCAGAGAGCAAGTATCTCCTATTCTCTCTAATGTGTGGAAACTAAAAGAAGTGTCAATATGAATGCACACAGTTCACTGAACAAAGGTTGGGAATGGAGAGGATGAGCATCACACAATGAGGCATCTTCAGAAAGTTCATGGGAAATGTGTGTAATGAAACAATTATGCAAAAATTTCAAGAAATTTAACACCCAGATAGATTATATATGTTGATTTCTCCTGGTCATGGGATGATCTCATGTTGAGTGATTTCATGTTCTTATCCTTGACTCCTAGTTTATCTGGGATTCCTACATTAATTTGCTCCAGTTTGATGGGGCATGCAAAAATATTCAACTGTTTGCAATCCACTTCCTTTGTTCCTGGGATTTTCTCCTCAAGCTAATTCAACAAAGTAATCTAAATTATACTGTTTGAAAATCCTCACTGTTTTCTGACAGTAATTCTCATGCTTTATTTGAGAACAGAAAGGAATTTCAAATCAATGAACTTGCATTTGTATTAAATGAAGAAGGAAAATCCAAAAACACAGGGAAGCAGAATTGGGCAGAGGCTCCTATTTACCCTGTGTTGAGCTGAACACCACTGGCCATCCCCAGATCTACCAGGTAAGACATCAGAGTACATCCCAGTAATCTCCCTGTTACAGTAAGTTCTCAACATGATTCTGAGGCAAGATTTATTTGAAGACATTCAAATTTAGGAAAAACCCAGGATATTAACATATGCAAAGACTTCAGGTATTGTCTAAATAATTTCTCTTCATGAGTCCTTCAAAAAGTATAACATACAAACTACCTAAAAGGAAAACTCAAAGTCTCAAATTATTGGGATTAGGAAGATCACATCATATTATATCAACTGCGTTGTCAGAACAAGGAGAGCAAACACATTAACTTCCTCATCAAATGCTGGAGATTCAGTGAGGTCATATTTCTATTCCCAAATAAAAAAAATTCTACAATATACTGTTCAAGTAAGATGTAAATTTCCAGCCCAAGGGAGACAATGTACATTAGAATTATTTTACATTTCATGATTACTAGGTTTCACCAAAATGGTGGGGAAGAAGCCAGGAGGACTCTCCGTCCTCATGATTAACCAGGGAACCCACCCCTACCACTGACATATCATATCACTGCCAGGTGCTGGTGCTCATCCTCTGAGCTCCACAAACACTACTGAAGGTGAAGGCAGAGCATCTATCAACAAGCACTCCTAGTGTTTCAATACACCCACCTGGCTAATTCTGATGCCAGGTAAGATCTGAAAGCACTGTTTAACAAAATATTAGACTATGAAAGACTTTATTATGAAAGACTATATTAAGACTATCAGTGTAAAAACAGAGTACAGTCATTGTGTAAATATTTTGTTTATGTGCCACTCACAAAATGCAAAATACAAACAACCATAGGCTGCAAATGAAAATTTAGTGCTAGCAAGATTAAAATGATCAAATTACAATCATATAAACTGGACAGGCAGAATAAAGATAGAAGGAAAAGTGAGTTAAGTTTCTCATCTAACATTGGGGAGTAAATGAACAGAACTTGCTATTCTGAATTTAGGATATTTGTACAATTGCAAATTCTCTAACATCAAGTACACATATGTGGAACTTTCTCAACTTAGTGGTGAAAAGTTAAGAAATATGAATTTACTTCATAAGGAAATTGGATCTGATCAAACCATGAAGTCACACTATCACTGGCCAATAGAGTTCTGATGAGTATTCATCAGGGATGTTTCCACAGCTTTCCATATGCCTAGGGGATCTCTCTGGGGCTGTCCCTGGGTGGCAGAGCTGTGAGGAGTTGAGAGGAGGTGGTGAGAAGAAAGCAGCTCTCCCAAGGTTCAGGGGCTATTTTGCTACATCAGAAGGCCCTATGTAACAAGCATCCCTCACTCTGGACTGGAAGAGGCAAGGTCAAGGGCACTTGAAACCACTGAGGGCTCCTGTGCAGGATGAAGCTCCTGCCTCTGCTGTTGCCTGAGAATCCTCACTTGAGACTGTGGCACACTAGCTCTTGACTTGGCTGAAGTCTCAATCTAGGGGCTAGTTGCAGTACACATGAAGGCCTCTGCAAACACCCAGAGATGCTGAGAAGGTAGCAATCCCAGAGCCATACCATAAAGATCCCAGGAGGCTGCACTGTGGTGCACTAGTGTAAGCCTATACCTGAGGTGCCAGCATCCTATGTGAGTGCCAATTCATGTGCAGCTGCTCCTCTTCTTATATAGCTCCCTGCTATATAACCAGGGAAAGCAGTGCAGGGTGGCCAAGTGCTTGGGTCCCTACACTCAAGTGGGAGACACAAAAGAAGCTCCTGGATCCTGGCTCCTGGCTTTGGATCTGCCCAGCTCTAGTCTTATTGGCCATTTATGATGTGAATCAATGGATGCAAATTCTCTCTCTCTCTCTCTCTCTCTCTCTCTCTCTCTCTCTCTCTCCCTCTGTGTGTGTCTCTCTCTTTGACTCTCAAATATATAAATAAATATAATCTAATAAAACATTAATGAAGAGCCCCAAGGTTCTCCCTAAGTGGTATTTAGCAAAGTTCTATGGAAAAATTAAAATGTATTGGGGCCAGCACTGTGGCACAGCAGGTTAACGCCCTGGTCTGAAGCGCTGGCATTACATAAGGGCACCTGTTCAAGGCCTGTCTGCTCCACTTCCTATCCATCTCTCTGCTATGGCCTGTGAAGCAGTGAAAGATGGCCCACGTCCTTTAACCCCCACACCCATTTGGGATACCCAGAAGTTCCTGGCTTTGAATCGGTGCAGCTCCAGCCATTGCGGCAAATTTGGGAGTGAACCAATGGATGGAAGACCTCTCTCTCTCTCTCTCTCTCTCTCTCTCTGTTTCTCCTCTCTCTGCATAACTCTGATTTTCAAATAAATACATAAATATTTACAAAAAAATTTCAAGCCATCATCAGCTTTGGATGCACTCTTAGTGTTGTAGGGTAGCCCTGATCCCCTGAATGAACCAAGACCTGTGCAGAAGAGCAAGAAAAGACTCCCTAAGACCCACCATTGTTACACTGCAAAGAAAATGTGAACGTGGTTCTGCAGCACCAATATTTTTCTGGTTTAAATGTAAGGGATTCCATCGGACCCCAGAAGACCCAAGAAAAGCATATTTGTATACAGCATACTCTGAAATCACATTTTATAATTATTACCTCTGAGGAATATGATTGTGCAAGCTTTATTTTTCTTTATATCTAATTTTGGATTTAATTTTCCATGGATAAATCTTGTATAATAAAGGGGTAAATGATACTTCCACATGGAAAATAAATGCCTATATGTATCTACTTAAAATATAAACAGTCCTAATTTAAAACAGAAAAAGGAAACATGGCAAGTCAGAATAGAATAGATTCTTCACATAATGAATACACATGTGTGCGACTCAATAATTATTAATAAATTAAAATATAAATGAGACACTATTTGCAGATACCAACTCAGGCCACCTGCTAAGATCATCAATGTGAAGGGAATGATATTGTTATAACTGGCTGGTATCCATCATCATAGTTCTGGAGGGTTCTGTGGACATATTCCTAAAATACTGTATCACATGCATTGCTTGATTGCACCAATTATATGGTCCATTATAATAGATTCTCAGAATCCATTGGCTTTAATCATAATGTGAAGATCGATGCCCTAATATCTATCTTATATCAAAGATCTATGTACTGTATTCCTACTAACTGGATTATTAAAGCGAATCCAGTTAGAAAGTCAGGGACTTTCAAAAATTGGTTTGAGAATAAAATTATGCTAGACCAAAAAGAGATCTTTAGGCCTGAATTAATCATAAAGGTAATTACATGAAAGAAA